CAGACGTCCCCGCCACTCGACCCCGCCCAGCTTCCTGCAGCTGCCTTGTTGTACTCACCGGCACCTGGTGCCCCCCACCCGCCCGCCCCGCCCGCCCCCTTTCCCGCCAGGAGCTGCCGCCGCAGCTCGGCGCGATGACGCGCCTCACATCACTCATACTGCGCGGCAACCCCCTGCGGCAGCCGTTTGGGCGGCTGGCGGACGCGCACGGCGACCTGGCGGCGGCGCGGCTGCTGGACCCCTACTCTGAGCGCATCGACATGTCGGAGTGCGGCTTTGACCGGCTGCCCGCAGAGGTCGGTCGCGTGGCGCTTGTGCTGCGCAGCTCAGATATCGGCTTGCTTTTGTGCAGTGGCTGATGGCGCATGCTCGAACGGCCGGGCTGCAACTCGTGTGGTTTTGCCACCCTGCTGAAGGCTTGAGGAGGAGTCTAACCAAAGAGTGGCGGAGCCGTGGCGGTCGCATCTCTGACTCGGGTGCCGTCGCTGAGCAGCCTCCACACTGCACGCCTCGGCGTTCATCTCCTGCTGCTCTGCTGGCGTGTCGCAGGTGACGATGCTGATGCGCGGGTCGTTGCGGGAGCTGGTGCTCACCAACAACAAGCTCAACGACCTGCCACAAGTGGGTGTGCGTGAGCCACAAAGCTTTGGCCTCGGCATTGTGGCTGAAGTGTTGAGGGCACACGACGACACGGGCCGTTGCTTAGGTGGGGGCTGCGAAGCCCTGCCCGAGGTCCTCCACTTGAACTGTTATTGCAGCGAACTGGAGAGATGAGTGCCGTGGTGGCTGCCCTCTGCTGAGTCAGCGCTGACGTCCTGGGGTGCGATTGTTTTTTTTGGGCCTTGAGTTGCAAGGGCGAACGCGATTCACCCCAGCGATCTCCTGCTCAAGTCATGTTCAGGCCCTGCAACCCCGGCCGACTGTTGTCAACCGCCACCGGCTCCTCCGAACCGCCTCCGACGGCCTTGCCTCCAGGAGCTGCTGCATCTCAGGGGTCTGACCATGCTGGTCCTAGACCACAACTTTCTCAGATGCCTACCATCCGGTGAGTGCACCGTGGACTTCACAGCGAATTCTATGGGCACACATGGCGGTCCAATAGCAATGCAGTCCAGAGTACATAACAGCCAGTGCGAGTGGCCAATAGCAGAGCTAGCCTTTTGATGCGTTGTTGCACCCTGCACTTTGCAAATCACCACAAACTGGTTGGACATGCTGTTCCCGATTGCATGCTGCCGCCTGCCCTGCAAAAGCGCCTGCCAGTCACGCCCTCCCCACGGTGACTGTAAAACCACCGCTGACCAAGCAGCCACGCTCGCCCCGCCACTTGCAGTTGTGTGCAAGCTGCCGTGCCTGGCGGTGCTGACGGCCTCAAACAACAGCATATCATACCTTCCAGACGCAGTGGCCGCGTGCAGGTGCGTCACATCTGGCATCACCACTTCTGCCGGCCAGCAGGACAGAGGGCTTGGCTGACGCGAATCTCGTGGGATGCGGCTCCCGGGTATAGCGCTAGCATCGAGCAGCTTTGCATCCGGCAAGAGTTGCTCTGGCAGACGCGCGTGCGCCGGTCGAGTCGCAAACGATGCCGCACCTCAACCCACCCCCGCAGCGCCCTGCGGGCGCTCGTGCTGCACAGCAACTGCCTGATGCAGCTGCCTGAGGGCGTGACACGTCTCACGGAGCTGCGAGCGCTCGCGCTCAGCAGCAACCGGCTGTGGCAGGTGCGAGGACCTGTCCCCACAGCAACAGGGCTGGGCGGGGACAACCCGCCAGGCCTGCCCCGGTGGTGCTAGGCAGTGCCCGGCATGCGCCACCCTGCCGCACGGGGCGCCCCTGCAGAGCGTTGCTGGCAGACTCAAATATCTGTTTCGGGCCGTGCTGAATGTGCACTTTATGTATGAGTGCTGCGCAGCAGTACAGGCAGTGTGTCACGTTACCCCTGGGCGCGGCTGGGTTTTTCCACTGGGGCGCTGCCAAATCTGCGCACATGGCTGGTGCCAAGCGCACTGCGCCAGAATGGAATGAGCGGGGACTATTATGTATCTCATCATGCTGCGTGCCCCCGCTGTCTACGCACCTCGCAGCTCCCCACTGCCCTTGGGGCGATGGTGTCCCTCCGCCTTCTGGACGTGAGCCACAACATGCTGACTAAGCTGCCCTCCAGCCTGGGCGACCTGGAGCAGCTGCGCAGCCTGAAGGTGAGAAGTCTCCCTCCTTGGGGTCCCAGGCAGGCACATTTTGCCAGGTTGCAACAACATTTTATCATGTGCGTCTGCATGGGTCAGGCACGAGGGCCAGCCCACCCTGCTGGCCCCACCAAGACTCTGCTGTGGAAGCCTGCTTGGCAGATTTGATTTTGCACCCTACTGGGACTGCCGTCTGTTAGCGCTGATGGACGATAGCTACCGGCTCCAAGGCTGCTATCTTGGGGTCGCCAGGCACCTGATCGCCAACACCCACGACAGAGGCAGACAACAGACATCGCATGCAGTCAGGC